CGATGGGAATTTCTCACCTCGGATTTCAGTTCACGCGCGGAGATGCAACAGCCACGCGGTTGCAGGCCGTGACGTCACTTCCGGGGTACAAGCCCCTCCCACAGAGCGGCTCTGTAACTTAAATAAATTATGTTAATGAGCCCCGCCCACACGTGGAGGGACGGGGCGGGGCTGCTGAACACGTCGCAATGAACTCGCGACGGCTTTCGCGAATAAATTATGTTAATGAGCCCCCAGTCACCGGGCGTGGCTTTGCCCAAATAAGGATTGGCACTGGAACAGATATCGGCAGCGGCCGGAGGTGACGTCACGCTCAAGAGCTTCACGGTCGGGAGTGGGTGACATGACGTCACTAGCGAGGCACACCTCCCCCTGGCGTTTGACGCCGATGAGGTCACGCTGCGCGGTGACGTCAGAGGGCGGGGTCAGAGTTCAAGTTTGTTGACAGAAGTGGAGCGGCAGTGTCGTGGTGAGCGCTGCGCTCCGCACCGACCAGCCGAGTTCCATTCCCGCTCGTGGCCAACGCCGCCAGTGACGACTTTCCGAACCGGTCCTGGGCCTCCCCTACGTCGACTCAGCCTCAAACGATTCCCCGGTGCGGTGTGTCAACATCGCCAGCACTGGGGAGACAAAGGCGGCCGGGCGTGGTGCTGGCCACCCACCCCCTCTGTGTGTGCCGTGACGACCTCCACCGGTGCTGCTACTCGCTATGAGCAGCACTTTGTGGATGTCGTGGCTTGGCTCTCCAGCACACCGCTGGCGACATGTCACGATGAAATTGTCACGTCCATAAAAAATCAGCATAATTAACCTATGCCGTTTTTGGAAAAATTGGCCCAATTTTTCTAGTTTTATTTTTAAACAAAAAGTGCATTCCTTGGTTGTGTTTAGCCTGAGTAGCCCATATATTACATTAAAAAGTGGGGAATTTCATGCATGAAATTTTCGAATATAAAAAAGTTAATCGGCATACTGTACCGTTTTTAGGCTCAATAAGCCAAACTTTTGACAGCTTTATTTTTGGACGAAAGTTAATTTCTCTATTGTATTTATCCTTAGTATGCCATGTATTTGATTAAAATGCCGTTTTTGGCATACTTAACCTATGCCGTTTTTGGTCAATAATGGCCAAATTTTTACAGCTTCATTTTTCAACAAAAGTGCAATCCTCGGGTGTGCTTAGCCTTAGTATTCTAATAAAAATAAAACATAATAAAACAATTCTCACGACGTTTCGGCCACAACGCAAGCAGCCGTCCTCAGGTGAAAACCAGGTCCGTCGAGGCGACAGAGTCTGAATTAAACAGCACACGAGCTTGGAGCATATATATAAGCATATATATATATTATATATATGCTCCAATCTCGTGTGCTGTTTCATTCAGACTCTGTCGCCTCGACGGACCTGGTTTTCACCTGAGGACGGCTGCTTGCGTTGTGGCCGAAACGTCGTGAGAATTGTTTTATTATGTTTTATTTTTATTATTTTATTACTTCCCTTCTACGTGACTTTACCGAAAGAACCAAGAAGATGAATCCCTGCAGTCACGAAAGCTTTAAATCGAAAAATCTTAGTATTCTATATATTACGTAAAAAAAGTGGTAAATTTCACCATGAAATTTAGCTACTAATGTTACTTGTCAGTGTCTCATTATCCTAGTAGCACAAGTAGCTACTAATGTTATTTGTCAGTGTCTCATTAACCTAGTAACACAAGTAGCTACTAATGTTACTTGTCAGTGTCTCATTATCCTAGTAACACAAGTAGCTACTAATGTTACTTGTCAGTGTCTCATTATCCTAGTAACACAAGTAGCTACTAATGTTACTTGTCAGTGTCTCATTATCCTAGTAACACAAGTAGCTACTAATGTTACTTGTCAGTGTCTCATTATCCTAGTAACACAAGTAGCTACTAATGTTACTTGTCAGTGTCTCATTATCCTAGTAACACAAGTAGCTACTAATGTTACTTGTCAGTGTCTCATTATCCTAGTAACACAAGTAGCTACTAATGCTACTTGTCAGTGTCTCATTATCCTAGTAGCACAAGTAGCTACTAATGTTGTTTGTCAGTGTCTCATTAACCTAGTAACACAAGTAGCTACTAATGTTACTTGTCAGTGTCTCATTATCCTAGTAACACAAGTAGCTACTAATGTTACTTGTCAGTGTCTCATTATCCTAGTGTAATGGGTTCAATTTAGGCGCACACACTTCTTGGGAGGCAACACTCATTTATTAATTAACACAACGTTTACTCAACAGTTACTCTTACTCTACACATAGGGTGGTGACCACCGACCTACACTAGCTAACACACAATTGTATTTTAGTCTCTCTCCAGCGTGACCCAGCCAGGTGGCTGCTGGCAGTCCGCTCACTGTAGGTCTTCTCTTCTGGCATCTTCACGAGGTGTCTTCATTCTTCTCAGGAACAGCCCTGCTCTGCCCTCACACCACCCTTATATCTCGTCTCTCTGGCGTGGCCGGCTCCGCCCAGGCCACGCCTCCCTTCCCAGGCCACGCCTCACTTCCCAGGCCACGCCTCACTTCCCCCACCTCTGGGAAGGTCCGGATCCCTCCAGCACGTGACCCCCCCAGGCACCCCCTTGGGGCCCCCAGCCCTCGTACGGGCCAACACAGTAGTGACCGTTCTGTCACTACACTAGTAACACAAGTAGCTACTAATGTTACTTGTCAGTGTCTCATTATCCTAGTAACACAAGTAGCTACTAATGTTACTTGTCAGTGTCTCATTATCCTAGTAACACAAGTAGCTACTAATGTTACTTGTCAGTGTCTCATTATCCTAGTAACACAAGTAGCTACTAATGTTACTTGTCAGTGTCTCATTATCCTAGTAACACAAGTAGCTACTAATGCTACTTGTCAGTGTCTCATTATCCTAGTAGCACAAGTAACTACTAATGCTACTTGTCAGTGTCTCATTATCCTAGTAACACAAGTAGCTACACATTCTACTTATCAGTGTCTCATTATCCTAGTAGCACAAGTAGCTACTAATGCTACGTAACAATGTCTCATTAGCCTAGTAGCACTCAATTTCGGTTCGGTGATTCTGCACTTGCTCTATTGCTATAGTACTATACTGCCCTTCAGCTTTTACGAACGACCGCGGTGTTTAAGGTTACCGATTCGTCTTATCCATCCGGCTGTATAGCAAATGAAAACATTAAAAAAATACTTTACTACGCAAGTAAAAAAAAAAACTAAATTTGATTTACAGCTTTCGTATCTGCAGGGATTCATATTCTCGGTTCTTTCGGTAAAGTCACGTAGAAGGGAAACAATAAAATAATAAAAAAAATTCTAAAACGATAAAATGCTCACGACGTGAGTATTTGCAACACAAGCAATCATCATCAGGTGTGAAAAACACGGCAAGAAAATTTGAACAAAATTTAAAAACAAATTGTCTTTTAATATTTTTTTCTCTCAAATCTGTAACACCGGTCAACAAAAAAAACACTTTTTTTTCTGGCCTGGACTTTTGCAGTTGTTCTAGACTAATTTCAGGGTGCCGATTCCAAATCTGACCTCAGATTTGCTCCATCACATCTCATTTTTATGCTATCGGCATACCCCATTTTCAATTATTTTACTCGAAATTAACTCCGTCACTTATGATTGCAAGTTGTTGCGAGGTAGTGACTGCTTTAGTGTTAAAACATGGTGCTGCATTTTTAGCATAGTGTGTTTATAATATCATTTCATGTAGATATCCACATTTATTTAATATTTTTCTTCCGCAGTTCTTATTGAAAATGCAATCTTTGATATCTCAAAAACCTGATGTGATAGACTGATGCCAAATCTGGAATCGCCACCCCAAAATTACCTTAAAACCGTTGGAATACCTCGTGCCAGAAAAAAGTGTGTTGACCAGTGTAACAGCAAATGCTACACGACCTGCTCTAGCTTCATCCGGCACTGGACCCAACAGCACCACCACCCCATCTCTCGTGGACTCGGCGTGACAAATGGTCACAATTCAACACGCGCAAGCACCTCTCCTCGTTGTCTGTGTCATTTGTATCGCGACTGAATTATTAAACTCCCACACGCAGCGATCCCCCCAAACCCTTGCCTCTCTCTCCTCTCTCTCTCTCCTCTCTCTCCTCTCTCTTGTAAAGAAAATCTTGAACTCCCTCCCCAAAAACCCCCACGGCATTTATACCGCACACGCACGCACGCACGCGCACACAGAGACACACAGACACACAGACAGACACACACAGACACACAGATAGAGACACAAAGACACAGACACACAGACAGAGACACACAGACAGACACACAGACACACACAGACAGAGACACAGACACACACAGACAGAGACACACAGACACACACAGACACAAAGACAGACACAAATACACAGACACACACAGACACAGACACACAGACACAGAGACACAGACACACACACAAAGACACAGACACACACAGACACAAAAACACAGACACACAGACACACACAGACACAAAGATACAGACACACACAAAGACACAGACACACACAAAGACAGAGACACAAAGACACAGACACAGAGATGCACACATACAGAGACACAGACACACAGACACAAAGACACAGACACGCACAGACACAAAGACACAGACACACATAGACACAAAGACAAAGACACAGACACACACATACACACAGACACACAAAGCCACAGACACATACAGACACACACAGACAGAGACACACAGACACAAAGACACAGACACACACAGACAGAGACACACAGACACACAGACAGAGACACACAGACACAAAGACAGACACACAAAGCCTCAGACACACAGACACATACAGACACACAGAGACACAGACACACAAAGACACACACAGACGTTTCGGCTACAACGCAAGCAGCCGTCTTCACCTGAAGACGGCTGCTTGCGTTGTAGCCGAAACGTCGTGAGAATTATTTCATTATGTTTTATTTTTATTATTTTATTACTTCCCTTCTACGTGACTACCGAAAGAACCAAGAAGATGAATCCCTGCAGTCACGAAATCTTTAAATCGAAAATTAACAATATTACCAACATTGTCACAGTTCGTTTTTTCAGCAACAGCAGCATCAGCAACATCAGCAACAGCAGCAGCAGCAACAGCATCAGCAGCGGGGACGGGGTGAACGATGTCAAAAGAGGATTATGAGGCGATCCCCGTCCGCGTGGCCGTGCGCTGCCGCCCCATGGCGCCGTGGGAGCTGCGGGATGGCTGCGTTCCCTGCGTCACCGTCGTACCCGGCGAGCCGCAGGTGAGAGACACGGAGGGAGAGCGCGAGAGAAAGATCCGGACACATTAATTCTAGATTTGAAGCTTTCGTGACTGCAAGGATTCATATTCTTAGGTTTTTTCGGTAAAGTCACCGTGTAGGTATAAAACATCAAAATTAATGAAAATAAAATGAAACAAAAATCACGACGTTTCGGAGGCAACACAAGTCTCCGTCATCAGGTGGGACCGTCACAGCCGAATTAGCTGCATCAAGTGAGGCAATGATTCAAGATGTAATCCCTTATAAGCAAGTTGCTTGCTTACTCACTGATGCAGCTAATTCGGCTGTGACGGTCCCACCTGATGACGGAGACTCGTGTTGCCTCCGAAACGTCGTGATTTTTGTTTCATTTTATTTTCATTAATTTTGATGTTTTGCCTACCTGGTGACTTTACCGAAAAAACCTAAGAATATGAATCCGGACACATTCCCATCGGCGAGCTCCTCCGGCAGGCGAAGGCTGCGTCGGGCAACAAAACGGACACCTTTTTAACAGGTCCCTGCGGGGTGGGCTGGTAGGAACGAATAACCAAAGAATATAAACATAATGTATAATCACACTTGTTTAGCCAGGAAAGCCTCACTGAGTCTAAAGGTTTTTGTAGGGTCCTGCCAAGTGTTTGCAGTAGGGGGCGATGTTGCTACACCGAATCGGACGATACGAAGGGAGAGATTGAGGCCTAGTTCTAGGCTTTAGGCCTAGCTGTAGGCTTTAGGCCGCTGTGAGTTGATTTTTAATTTAAATGTTTTAATTATTAATGTAAACACTTTAAATGTAAATGTTTCTATTTAAAAACATCAGGGAATGTAACATTGTTAAACACTAACTCCCTTTCACACACGCGGGGGTACGATACGAAGGGAGAGTTTGAGGCCTAGTTCTAGGCTTTAGGCCTAGCTGTAGGCTTTAGGCCGCTGTGAGTTAATGTTTAATTTAAATGTTTTAATTAAAAGCTATCTCAGGGAATTATAAGGGAATGTTACACTTGTTTAGCCAGGAAAGCATCACCGAGTCTAAAGGTTTTTGTAGGGTCCTGCCAAGTGTTTGCAGTAGGGGGCGATGTTGCTACACGGACGGACGGATGGACGATATAATCTATTGTGGGCTGGTTCACTTCATTTCCTACCAGTAAAATCCTTTATATTAAGTTCACTTGCTTGCTTGCGCGCTTACGACCGTGCAAATGTTTCGGTCGTTTTTAATTTAAATCCTTTATATTAAGTTCACTTGCTTGCTTGCTTGCGCGCTTACGACCGTGCAAATCTTTCGGTCGTTTTTTATTTAAATCCTTTATATCAAGTTCGCTTGCTTGCTTGCGCGCTTACGACCGTGCAAATGTTTCGGTCGTTTTTTAACCCGCTTCCCGTGATCCAAGATCGGCCTTTGTGGAGGAGGAGGCTACTGGTGCAGTGCCAGGCTAGGTGCACTTTGGGGCAGTCGCCCTCCAGCGATAACAACGGAGGGCAGAGGAGCGACGCTCACAATAACGAGCGGAGCGCCGGGCGGATAAAATGCAGCGAGTTGGCACAGTAGGGAGGTACAGCTGGTGGTGCATCTACCGCTCATCTCGGTTGGCCAACCCGTGGCACCTGCTGGGTCTGTCCCGCGAATTCCTGTCAGCAGCGAGCCTTCGACACTTCACGTGATAGCCTCAAAGTCCACCTGGCATAGGTGCCATTGACGTCACCATCGCTTAGTGGCAAATGGCGGATATTGATTGGTATTGGTCAGAATCTTAACTACACATTTTTGGACCATCTTATCTGACAGCGCCTATTTTACTTTACCGAGTGTTAACATCCCCTTAACGACAGACGCTGTCGCCTCGACAGACCTGGTCTTCACCTGAGGATGGCTGCTTGCGTTGTGGCCGAAACGTCGTGAGAATTATTTTATTATGTTTTATTTTAATTATTGTATTACTTCTCTTCTTCGTGCTGACTTTACCGAAAGAATCAAGAAGATGAATCCCTGCAGTCACGAAAGCTTTACATCGAAAAGTACTCTCTTTATTGTCAGCCAACACTGGTATAAACAACGTGGGCATTTTCGTTCACTTCTATCATGTGCATCAACAGGTGCTTGTGCACAGGCATGTCCATGTCCACGTACACCACGTGATCTCTTTTAGCCCCGCCCTCCCGATACGTTCCATTCATTGGCTACCACATTCTGATAAGCTCCTCCCCCCCCTCTCCTCCGCCTTGGCTTGTATTTAAGAGCTTGCATCTTGGAATCCCTGCCTCACTTGATGCAGCAAATCTGGCTGTGACGGTCCCCCACCTGATGACGGAGACTTGTGTTGCCTCCGAAACGTCGTGATTTTTTATTTTCATTTTTTACCTACGTGACTTTACAGAATCTGAATATTTATTTGGACTTTAGGAGGGATCTGATGGGCTTATGAAGCTGTTTTTTCACAGATGGCCCAGCATGGGAAGTCCGCAAGTTACTACGGCAGACAGTGCAACAATAAGTAATATTTAAAAAAACTTTTAAAAAAAACACGCTTTAATGAAATGTACCCCGCTAGTAATGGAATAACTCCACGACTTCAGGAAGCAGAGAGGTCGCAATCGGGTACCCGATACCCGTACCCTACCCGATACCCGTACCCTACAAGATACCCGTACCCTACCCGATACCCGTACCCTACCCGATACCCGTACCCTACCCGATACCCGTACCCTACCCGATACCCGTACCCTACCCGATACCCGTACCCTACCCGATACCCGTACCCTACCCGATACCCGTACCCTACCCGATACCCGTACCCTACCCGATACCCGTACCCTACCCGATACCCGTACCCTACCCGATACCCGTACCCTACCCGGCTACCCTGCTGCTGCTGCTGCTACTTGCTACGATCAGCACTTGCCCCGACAGCCTGCTAGAGGCTACACGGGGGAACTTTGTCTGTGTCTACCTTCACAGGCAGTGCTGCTGCTGCTACTCGCTACTAACAGCACTTGCCCCCACAGTCTGTTAAGGCTACACGGGGTGTGGCGGTGTGTGATCTGTGTGTGATCTGTGTGTGTTCTGTGTGTGTTCTGTGTGTGATGTGTGTGTGTGGGGATTGCAGATTGTGCTGAGCGGGGAGAAGGCCTTCACGTTCGACTTCGTGTTCGACCCGGCAGCCGAGCAGGAGGAGGTGTTTAGTAACGCCGTGGCCCCTCTCATCGATGGCATTTTCAAAGGTGAGGGAGCGAGTGTGTGAGCGTGTGAGCGTGTGTGTGTGTGCGCGCGCGCGTGTGTGAGCGTGTGCGTGTGTGCGCGCGCGTGTGTGTGTGTGCACGCATGTGTGTGTGCACGCGTGTGTGTACACGAGTGTGAGTGTGCGTAAACGAGTGGGGAGTCGAGCTCGATTCCCGCTCACGTGAGTAGCTGGTGTAGTAGCTGTGTGTGGTCGTGAGTAGCTGGTGTAGTAGCTGTGTGTGGTAGTGAGTAGCTGGTGTAGTAGCTGTGTGTGGTCGTGAGTAGCTGGTGTAGTAGCTGTGTGTGGTAGTGAGTAGCTGGTGTAGTAGCTGTGTGTGGTAGTGAGTAGCTGGTGTAGTAGCTTTGTGTGGTCGTGAGTAGCTGGTGTAGTAGCTGTGTGTGGTAGTGAGTAGCTGGTGTAGTAGCTGTGTGTGGTCGTGAGTAGCTGGTGTAGTAGCTGTGTGTGGTAGTGAGTAGCTGGTGTAGTAGCTGTGTGTGGTAGTGAGTAGCTGGTGTAGTAGCGGTGTGTGGTAGTGAGTAGCTGGTGTAGTAGCTGTGTGTGGTCGTGAGTAGCTGGTGTAGTAGCTGTGTGTGGTAGTGAGTAGCTGGTGTAGTAGCTGTGTGTGGTAGTGAGTAGCTGGTGTAGTAGCTGTGTGGTCGTGAGTAGCTGGTGTAGTAGCTGTGTGTGGTAGTGAGTAGCTGGTGTAGTAGCTGTGTGGTAGTGAGTAGCTGGTGTAGTAGCGGTGTGTGGTAGTGAGTAGCTGGTGTAGTAGCTGTGTGTGGTCGTGAGTAGCTGGTGTAGTAGCTGTGTGTGGTAGTGAGTAGCTGGTGTAGTAGCTGTGTGTGGTAGTGAGTAGCTGGTGTAGTAGCTGTGTGTGGTCGTGAGTAGCTGGTGTAGTAGCTTTGTGTGGTCGTGAGTAGCTGGTGTAGTAGCGGTGTGTGGTAGTGAGTAGCTGGTGTAGTAGCTGTGTGTGGTCGTGAGTAGCTGGTGTAGTAGCTGTGTGTGGTAGTGAGTAGCTGGTGTAGTAGCTGTGTGTGGTAGTGAGTAGCTGGTGTAGTAGCTTTGTGTGGTCGTGAGTAGCTGGTGTAGTAGCGGTGTGTGGTAGTGAGTAGCTGGTGTAGTAGCTGTGTGTGGTCGTGAGTAGCTGGTGTAGTAGCTGTGTGTGGTCGTGAGTAGCTGGTGTAGTAGCTGTGTGTGGTAGTGAGTAGCTGGTGTAGTAGCTGTGTGTGGTCGTGAGTAGCTGGTGTAGTAGCTGTGTGTGGTCGTGAGTAGCTGGTGTAGTAGCTGTGTGTGGTAGTGAGTAGCTGGTGTAGTAGCTGTGTGTGGTAGTGAGTAGCTGGTGTAGATAGCGGTGTGTGGTAGTGAGTAGCTGGTGTAGTAGACTGTGTGTGGTAGTGAGTAGCTGGTGTAGTAGCTGTGTGTGTAGTGAGTAGCTGGTGTAGTAGCTGTGTGTGGTAGTGATAGCTGGTGTAGTAGCTGTGTGTGGTAGTGAGTAGCTGGTGTAGTAGCTGTGTGTGGTAGTGAGTAGCTGGGGTAGTAGCTGTGTGTGGTAGTGAGTAGCTGGTGTAGTAGCTGTGTGTGGTAGTGAGTAGCTGGGTAGTAGCTGTGTGTGGTAGTGAGTAAGCTGGTGTAGTAGCTGTGTGTGGTCGTGAGTAGCTGGTGTAGTAGCTGTGTGTGGTAGTGAGTAGCTGGTGTAGTAGCTGTGTGTGGTAGTGAGTAGCTGGTGTAGTAGCTGTGTGTGGTCGTGAGTAGCTGGTGTAGTAGCTGTGTGTGGTCGTGAGTAGCTGGTGTAGTAGCTGTGTGTGGTCGTGAGTAGCTGGTGTAGTAGCGGTGTAGTGTGGTAGTGAGTAGCTGGTGTAGTAGCTGTGTAGTGTGGTAGTGAGTAGCTGGTGTAGTAGCGGTGTAGTGTGGTAGTGAGTAGCTGGTGTAGTAGCGGTGTGTGGTCGTGAGTAGCTGGTGTAGTAGCTGTGTGTGGTAGTGAGTAGCTGGTGTAGTAGCTGTGTGTGGTCGTGAGTAGCTGGTGTAGTAGCTGTGTGGTCGTGAGTAGCTGGTGTAGTAGCTGTGTGTGGTAGTGAGTAGCTGGTGTAGTAGCTGTGTGTGGTAGTGAGTAGCTGGTGTAGTAGCTGTGTGTGGTCGTGAGTAGCTGGTGTAGTAGCTGTGTGGTCGTGAGTAGCTGGTGTAGTAGCGGTGTGTGGTCGTGAGTAGCTGGTGTAGTAGCTGTGTGTGGTAGTGAGTAGCTGGTGTAGTAGCTGTGTGTGGTCGTGAGTAGCTGGTGTAGTAGCTGTGTGGTCGTGAGTAGCTGGTGTAGTAGCTGTGTGTGGTAGTGAGTAGCTGGTGTAGTAGCGGTGTGTGGTCGTGAGTAGCTGGTGTAGTAGCGGTGTGTGGTAGTGAGTAGCTGGTGTAGTAGCTGTGTGTGGTAGTGAGTAGCTGGTGTAGTAGCTGTGTGTGGTCGTGAGTAGCTGGTGTAGTAGCGGTGTGTGGTAGTGAGTAGCTGGTGTAGTAGCTGTGTGTGGTAGTGAGTAGCTGGTGTAGTAGCGGTATGTGGTAGTGAGTAGCTGGTGTAGTAGCTGTGTGTGGTCGTGAGTAGCTGGTGTAGTAGCTGTGTGTGGTAGTGAGTAGCTGGTGTAGTAGCTGTGTGTGGTAGTGAGTAGCTGGTGTAGTAGCTGTGTGTGGTCGTGAGTAGCTGGTGTAGTAGCTGTGTGTGGTCGTGAGTAGCTGGTGTAGTAGCTGTGTGTGGTAGTGAGTAGCTGGTGTAGTAGCTGTGTGTGGTAGTGAGTAGCTGGTGTAGTAGCTGTGTGTGGTAGTGAGTAGCTGGTGTAGTAGCGGTGTGTGGTCGTGAGTAGCTGGTGTAGTAGCTGTGTTGTGGTAGTGAGTAGCTGGTGTAGTAGCTGTGTGTGTGGTAGTGAGTAGCTGGTTGTAGTAGCTGTGTGTGGTAGTGAGTAGCTGGTGTAGTAGCTGTGTGTGGTCGTGAGTAGCTGGTGTAGTAGCTGTGTGTGGTCGTGAGTAGCTGGTGTAGTAGCTGTGTGTGGTCGTGAGTAGCTGGTTGTAGTAGCTGTGTGTGGTCGTGAGTAGCTGGTGTAGTAGCTGTGTGTGGTAGTGAGTAGCTGGTGTAGTAGCTGTGTGTGGTAGTGAGTAGCTGGTGTAGTAGCTGTGTGTGGTAGTGAGTAGCTGGTGTAGTAGCTGTGTGTGGTAGTGAGTAGCTGGTGTAGTAGCTGTGTGTGGTAGTGAGTAGCTGGTGTAGTAGCTGTGTGTGGTAGTGAGTAGTGGTTGTAGTAGCTGTGTGTGGTAGTGAGTAGCTGGTGTAGTAGCTGTGTGTGGTAGTGAGTAGCTGGTTGTATTTAGTAGCTGTGTGTTGTGTGGTAGTGAGTAGCTGGTGTAGTAGCTGTGTGTGGTAGTGAGTAGCTGGTGTAGTAGCTGTGTGTGGTAGTGAGTAGCTGGTGTAGTAGCTGTGTGTGGTCGTGAGTAGCTGGTGTAGTAGCTGTGTGTGGTAGTGAGTAGCTGGTGTAGTAGCTGTGTGTGGTAGTGAGTAGCTGGTGTAGTAGCTGTGTGTGGTCGTGAGTAGCTGGTGTAGTAGCTGTGTGTGGTAGTGAGTAGCTGGTGTAGTAGCTGTGTGTGGTAGTGAGTAGCTGGTGTAGTAGCTTTGTGTGGTCGTGAGTAGCTGGTGTAGTAGCTGTGTGTGGTAGTGAGTAGCTGGTGTAGTAGCTGTGTGTGGTCGTGAGTAGCTGGTGTAGTAGCTGTGTGTGGTAGTGAGTAGCTGGTGTAGTAGCGGTGTGTGGTAGTGAGTAGCTGGTGTAGTAGCGGTGTGTGGTCGTGAGTAGCTGGTGTAGTAGCGGTGTGTGGTCGTGAGTAGCTGGTGTAGTAGCTGTGTGTGGTCGTGAGTAGCTGGTGTAGTAGCTGTGTGGTCGTGAGTAGCTGGTGTAGTAGCTGTGTGTGGTAGTGAGTAGCTGGTGTAGTAGCGGTGTGTGGTCGTGAGTAGCTGGTGTAGTAGCGGTGTGTGGTAGTGAGTAGCTGGTGTAGTAGCTGTGTGTGGTAGTGAGTAGCTGGTGTAGTAGCTGTGTGTGGTCGTGAGTAGCTGGTGTAGTAGCGGTGTGTGGTAGTGAGTAGCTGGTGTAGTAGCTGTGTGTGGTAGTGAGTAGCTGGTGTAGTAGCGGTATGTGGTAGTGAGTAGCTGGTGTAGTAGCTGTGTGTGGTCGTGAGTAGCTGGTGTAGTAGCTGTGTGTGGTAGTGAGTAGCTGGTGTAGTAGCTGTGTGTGGTCGTGAGTAGCTGGTGTAGTAGCTGTGTGTGGTAGTGAGTAGCTGGTGTAGTAGCTGTGTGTGGTAGTGAGTAGCTGGTGTAGTAGCTGTGTGTGGTAGTGAGTAGCTGGTGTAGTAGCGGTGTGTGGTCGTGAGTAGCTGGTGTAGTAGCTGTGTGTGGTCGTGAGTAGCTGGTGTAGTAGCTGTGTGTGGTAGTGAGTAGCTGGTGTAGTAGCTGTGTGTGGTAGTGAGTAGCTGGTGTAGTAGCTGTGTGTGGTCGTGAGTAGCTGGTGTAGTAGCTGTGTGTGGTCGTGAGTAGCTGGTGTAGTAGCTGTGTGTGGTCGTGAGTAGCTGGTGTAGTAGCTGTGTGTGGTCGTGAGTAGCTGGTGTAGTAGCTGTGTGTGGTAGTGAGTAGCTGGTGTAGTAGCTGTGTGTGGTAGTGAGTAGCTGGTGTAGTAGCTGTGTGTGGTAGTGAGTAGCTGGTGTAGTAGCTGTGTGTGGTAGTGAGTAGCTGGTGTAGTAGCTGTGTGTGGTAGTGAGTAGCTGGTGTAGTAGCGGTGTGTGGTCGTGCACATCGCCACTGGGGAGACAAAGGCGGCCGGGCGTGGTGCTGGCCACCCACCCCCTCGTGTGCCACAGTGCCGGTAGCCTTCATAGGTGCTGCTACTTGCTAACAGCACTTGCCCCTACAGTCTGCTGAGGTTATACAGGGGATCTTTGTCTTTGTGAGCGAGTGCGGAGTAGTTTGGCCAGCTAGAAGGGGCTAAACCATCGCTGCACGGGCTTAGAGAAGCAATGGTTCTGAGATTGGGTGGGTGAGTGAGTGAGTGGTAAGGGCGTAAGGTAAAAGATTGGTGAGTGGGTGAGTGGTACGGGCTCGAGAAGAGATGGACTGATGGGTGAGTGGGTGGGTGGAGAAGAGATGGACTGACGGGTGAGTGGGTGGGTGAGTGGTACGGGCGAGAGAAGAGATGGAGCTGATGGGTGAGTGGCACGGGTGAGAGAAGAGATGGAGTGACGGGTGAGTGGGTGGGTGGGTGAGTGGGTGAGTGAGTGGGTGGGTGGGTGGGTGAGTGGGTGGGTGTGTGGGTGGATGAGTGAGTGGGTGTGGGGGATGAGTGAGTGGGTGAGTGGGTGGGTGAGTGGGCGGGCGAGTGGGCGGGGCGAGCGAGTGGGCAGGCGGGCGGGCGAGTGGGTGGGCGAGTGAGTGGGTGGGCGAGTGAGTGAGTGAGTGACTGGGTGGTCACCACCCACCCCTCTCCCCGCTCACCGTCTCGCAGGCTACAACGCCACGGTGCTGGCGTACGGACAGACGGGTTCTGGCAAGACGTTCACGATGGGCGGCGCGTACAGCGGCGACGCCGATCCAAACTCCACCGGGATCATCCCGCGGGCCGTGCACGCTCTGTTCCGTGGGGTGCAGTCACGTGACGCCTATGAGTTCGCCATCTCCGTGTCATACCTGGAGGTGCGTCACGTTCGCACGCGTGTCACGCACGTACACGCACGCACACGCACGTACACGCACGCACACGCACGTCATGTGCACACGTGTCACGCACGTACACGCACGTACACGCACGCACACGCACGCACACGCACGTCATGTGCACACGTGTCACGCACGCACACGCACGCACACGCACGCACACGCACGTCATGTGCACGTACACGCACGTACACGCACGTACACGCACGTACACGCACGTACACGCACGTGCACGCACGCACATCATGTGCACACGTGCACGCGCACGCACGCACACGCACACGCACGTGCACACACGCGCACACACGTGTTGTTGTCGTGTTACACAGTTGTGTTAAACTGTTGTTGTTGTGTTAGACAGTTGTGTTAAACTGTTGTTGTTGTTGTTGTGTAGATTTACCGGGACGAAATCATCGACTTGCTGTACGTGGGCAAAGAGCGACCCTTGCTGTCCGTGAGGGAAGACCCCAAGGAGGGCATCAAGGTGAGACACTCTCCTGGTCACCGTTTACTATTGGTGGCCACCCGTCCGTACGTGTGTGTGTGTCTCTGTGTGTGTGTGTCTCTGTGTGTGTGCGTGCGTCTCTGTGTTGCGTGTGTGTGTGTCTTTGTGTGTGTGTGTGTGTGTCTGTGTGTGTGTGTCTCAGTGTGTGTGTGTGGTTGTATGTGCCTGTGTCTCTGTGTGTGTGCGTCTCTGTGTGTGTGTGTGTCTGTGTGTGTGTCTGTGTGTGTGTGTCTCTGTGTGTGTGTGTGTGTGTCTCTGTGTGTGTGTGTGTGTCTCTGTGTGTGTGTCTCTGTGTGTGTGTGTGTGTCTCTGTGTGTGTGTTTGTGTGTGTGTGTTTGTGTGTGTGTCTCTGTGTGTGTTTGTGTGTGTGTCTCTGTGTGTGTTTGTGTGTGTGTGTTTGTGTGTGTGTCTCTGTGTGTGTGTGTGTGTCTGTCTGTGTGTGTGTGTGTCTGTGTGTGTGTGTCTCTGTGTGTATGTGTGCGTGTGTATGTGTGCGTGTGTATGTGTGTGTCTCTGTGTGTGTGTCAATGTGTGTGTGCGTGTCTATGTGTGTGTCTGTGTGTGTCTCGGTATTTGTCTCTGTGTGTGTGTCTCTGTGTGTGTGTGTGTCTCTGTGTGTGTGCGTGCGTGTCTCTCCTCCCTCACCCCCCCCCACCCTCACCCCTCCTCACCTCACCTCCCTCTCCCCCCCCGCGGTAGATCTGCGGCCTGACTGAGCGCGTGGTGGCGTCTGCGGAGGACATAATCTGCTGCCTGCAGCAGGGAAACCTGTCACGCACCGTGGGAGCCACCGCCATGAACGCACAGTCCTCCCGCTCACACGCCATCTTCACTATCACCATCGAGCAGCGCGGCAGGGAGGACAGGTGGGGTGGTGGTGGTGGTTGTGGTGGTGGTTGTGGTGGTGGCGGTTGTGGTGGTGATGATGGTTGTGGTGGTGGTGATGATGGTGGTTGTGCTGATGATGATAATGATGATGGTTGTGGTGATGATTGTTGTGACGATGATGATGGTTGTGGTGGTGATGATGATGATTGTGGTGATGATGATAATGATGGTTGTGTGGTGGTTGTGATGATGGTTGTGGTTGTGATGATGATGGTTGTTGTAATGATGATGATGGTAGTGGTGGTGATGATGATGGTAGTGGTGGTGATGATGATGGTTGTGGTGGTGATGATGATGGTAGTGGTGGTGATGATGATGGTAGTGGTGGTGATGATGATGGTAGTGGTGGTGATGATGATGGTTGTGGTGGTGATGAAGATGGTTGTGGTGGTGATGATGATGGTAGTGGTGGTGATGATGATGGTTGTGGTGATGATGATGATGGCTGTGGTGATGATGATGATGGTAGTGGTGGTGATGATGATGGTAGTGGTGGTGATGATGATGGCTGTGGTGGTGATGATGATGGTTGTGGTGGTGATGATGATGGTTGTGGTGGTGATGATGATGGCTGTGGTGATGATGATGATGGTAGTGGTGGTGATGATGATGGTAGTGGTGGTGATGATGATGGTTGTGGTGGTGATGATGATGGCTGTGGTGGTGATGATGATGGCAGTGGTGGTGATGATGATGGTTGTGGTGGTGATGATGATGGCTGTGGTGATGATAATGCTGGTAGTGGTGGTGATGATGATGATGATGATTGTAGTGATAATGATGATGATGGCTGTGGTAGTGATGATGATGGTAGTGTTGATGATGATGATGAAGGTTATGGCGGTAGTGATGATGATGACGGTGATGATGATGATTATGATGGTAGTAGTGGTGTTGATGATGATGATGACGGTTATGGCAGTAGTAGTATTAACGACAACGCTCATGATGTCCGCGCCTCCCCTCCCGCTCGCTCAGAGAGAGTCACTGCCGCAGCAAGCTCCACCTGGTGGACCTTGCCGGCTCCCAGCGTGCCAAGCGCACCAAGGCGGAGGGTGACCGCCTGCGTGAGGGCATCAACATCAACCGCGGCCTGCTGGCGCTTGGCAATGTGATCAGCGCGCTCGGGGAGGAGGGAGTGGCACGGCGGGCTCACCACGTGCCCTACCGTGACTCAGGGCTCACGCGGCTGCTGCAAGGTGACTGAGCCACGCGCGCAAGATGCACACGCGTGACACGTGGCACGCACGTGACACACACGTGACACGCTCGTGGCATGCGCGAGTCACTCACGTGGCGTACGACGACCCTCATGGTGACCTGCGTGTGTGCGCGTGTGTATGTGTGTGTGTATGTGCGTATGTGTGTGTGTGTTTGTATGTATGTGCGCGTGTGTATGTGTGTGTGTATGTGCGTGTGTGTGTGTGTGTATGTGCGTGTGCGTGTCTGTGTGTATGTATGTGTGTGTGTGTATGTGTGTGCGTGTATGTAAGCGTGTATGTATGTGTGCGTGTATGTATGTGTCTCTCTCTTCTCTGGGAGGTAACAGCCTAACCCTCATGGTGGCCTGTGTGTGTATGTATGTGTGTGTGCGTGTATGTGTGTGGGGAGCGGTAGTGTAGCGGTTAGCGTGCTGCGCTATGAACCTGGCGACCCGGGTTCGATTCCCGCTCACGGCTAACACCAATGACGATTATCTGAACCAGTCCTGGGCCTCCCCTAGTTCGACTCGGCCTTAAATGAGTACCTGGTGCGGTGTGTAAACTTCGCCACTGGGAAGACAAAGGCGGTCGGGCGTGGTGCTGGCCATCCACCCCCTCGTGTACCGTTCCGGCCTTCATAGGTGCTCGCTAACAGCACTTGCCCCTACAGTCTGTTAAGGCTATACGGGGGGATCTTTGATCTTTGTATGTGTGTGTATGTGTGTATGTATATGTATGCGTGTCTCTCCCTGTCTCTCTCTAGATTCTCTGGGAAGTAACAGCCTGACCCTCATGGTGGCCTGCATCAGCCCGGGCGACTCCAACCTGGAAGAAACCCTCAACACTCTGCGCTACGCTGACCGTGCGCGCAAGATCAAGAACAAGCCGATCGTGAACCGTGACCCCAACACGGTCGAACTGCAGATGCTCCGGCAACAGGTGTGTTACCTCTCGACACCGGAGACGCAGAGAGAGATTCTAGCCCCCGCCTGCCCCCGTGTGTAGCCTCTTTCAGACTGTAGCAGCAGCAGTAGTAGCATCAGCAGCAGTAGCAGCAGCAGCAGTAGCAGCAGCAGCAGTAGCAGGAGCAGCAGCGCTTAATGAAGGCCGGTATCCAGAGGTCGCAATCGGGTACCCGATACCCGTACCCTACCCGATACCCGGTTACCTGTACCCGGCCGGGTATGGGTATGGCCGGGTATGGGTATGGCCGGGTATCGGGTAGGGTACGGGTAGGGTACGGGTAGGGTACGGGTAGGGTACGGGTAGGGTACGGGTAGGGTACGGGTAGGCCGTGAGTCACTGGTGAGTCACCGTTTGTCACTCATTTCCCAACGTCTTGTCTCTTCTCACAATTCAAGTTCCTAGAATCAACCCACCTGCGCCTGCAACATGGCTTCATCCCAGAGGTCGCAACCGGGTACCCGATACCCGTACCCGGCTGGGTATCGTCATCGTCGTTATCGTCGACCGAGAGTTTTGCGTTTCTCTGTTGCAGGTTCAACAGCTGCAGGTGCAGCTGCTGCAGGCTCGGGGTGGAGGTATCGTCACGATGCAGGGGTGGGTCTCTCTCTGTGTCTCTCTGTGTGTCTCTCTGTGTCTTGTGGGGGCCGTTGGCCCCCGGGGTCCCTCCCGCCAGCATCCCCTATTCCGTTTAAGTTACCCCACCTCCCTATTACTCGCTACGGTTTTGCCGGCATTCGAATGCGACGCCACTACGGTTACAGCCTCGCGCCGCGCTCCCACGCTGCGAGCATACGTGCGCACATCATCGTCAATCAAACGCCGTGCTCGCAGTATAGCCCTGTGCGGCACGTTACCAATGCGCATCCGTGTCCGACATGTAACGAACGTATGCACACACACACACGCCGCTCCGTGCACTCCAACTCCACACCAACTACGCAAGTTATGATCGCGCACCTGTATCACACACGGAGTGAACACACGCGACACCCACTCTTGCGCCGCTCTGCGCAGCGCTCGCCGTCTGCTGGCCGCTTGCGTTATGATCGCGCACCTGGGGTACGCCTATTACGCACGCCGCGAGCTTACGCACACACAGTACCACACGCGTTCCCACACGCAACCCGCGCGCTCAGCTCCGCGCAGCGCTCACTCACGTGGCGAACCACTGTGCACACAGCGCACCCACACGCTCACACTGCACGACAAGATCACGCGAGACCACGCTTCGCTATTAATGATTTATTACCTGATAACTAATGTTGAATTAGTGAGTCGACGAGGCTGGCCTATTCCACTAAACCGGCACCTATTCCCTATTTATCGGCTATGATTCTAATTCCCCTTCTTACTCACTGTTAAGTGTCCACGGCGGTCCGCTGATCCTTGTGTTAACCGCGTGCCTCGGTGCGTCGCACGGACGTCCGGGTCGGTGGCCCGAGCTGCGTCTGGTCGCCTGGCGCTGGAGTAAGAGAGCGATTTCCCCTCTGCGCTCCTCTATTTATCCTCCCTACCTCCCAAAGGGGATGCTGCGCTGAACAATGGGCTCGTGCACCCCAAGCCCGCGCACGGCAGTCCCCAGGCGCTGTTGATATGCTAATCAGTGTGCTGCGTGCAAGGCGTAAATCCTAATTACTCCCTTACCCTTCCTACCAATGGGGCTTGCGCGCTCAAGCGCAATTATCCCAACCCTCCATGACTATGCGCAACAGCCCCTGTGACCCCGCTATTCATGCTGTCCCGTGCCTCCCCTGCTTGCCCCGTCGACTCGTGGGGGTGTGTGTGGGGGGAAATGCGCCTCAACCGCGGTGGCCGAATGCCCCACGCCGCGACCACACCATATTAAGGCCGGCAGCAGCGCCGCGGTGCCACGTAGCACGGGGAGGTCATCCAATTCCCTGATCGCCGGAAACCGTGAGAATTAATCCCGATAAGGGTCTCTCGGATAAAAACCGGTCGATCAGGTAACCTTCCCTTCCAGCTCTATGGGGGGGGGGGGGATGCGTGCGGGTGTGTGCTTATGTGGGGCGGGTGATTGGGGGCAGTGCGGTGGGGGAAGCCGGGCGGCTCCCTGGCTCGGCAGAGCGGCCCCGTCGCTGTGGCACCACAGTCTCTCTGTGTGTCTCTGTGTGTCTCTGTGTGTCTCTGTGTCTCTCTGTGTCTCTCTGTGTGTCTCTGTGTCTCTCTGTGTCTCTCTGTGTGTCTCTGTGTGTCTCTCTGTGTGTCTCTGTGTGTCTCTCTCACGTCCCCCACGCTCGCTCGCTCGCATACACAGAGCCAGCTGGAGCCAGAGCCGCCGCTCACCACGTTGGGTGGTGGTGGTGGTGGTGGCGGTGGTGGTGGTGGTGGTGGCGATGGTGGTGGTGGTGGTTGTGGTGGGGGGGATGGTGGTGGGGGGGATGGATGGTGGTGGGGGTGGTGGGGGTGGTGGTGGTGGGGGTTGTGGTGGGGGGGATGGTGGTGGGGGTGGTGGGGGTGTTGGTGGGGGTGGCGGTGGGGGTGGTGGGGGTGATGGGGGTGGTGGTGGCGGTGGTGGTGGGGGGGGTGGCGGTGGTGGTGGTGGTGGGGGTGGTGGTGGCGGGGGTGGTGGGAGTGGTGGTGGTGGTGGTGGCGGTGGTGGTGGTGGTGGTGGCGATGGTGGTGGTGGTAGGGGAGTGGCGGTGCAGCGGTTAGCGTGCCGTGCTGAGAATGCGGCAGAGACCCGAGTTCGATCCCCGCTCACGGCCAACAACCACCACCAGTGATGCTTGTCTCTGTGTGTCTCTGTGTGTCTCTGTGTGTCTCTGCATGTCTCTGTGTGTCTCTGTGTGTCTCTGTGTCTTTATGGGTCTTTATGGGTCTCTGTGTGTCTCTATGGGTCTATGTGTGTATCTATGGGTCTCTGTGTGTCTCTGTGTGTCTCTGTGTGTATCTACAGGTCTCTGTGTCTCTATGGGTCTTTATGGGTCTCTGTGTCTCTGTGGGTCTCTGTGGGTCTCTGTGTATCTCTATGGGTCTCTGTGTATCTATGGGTCTCTGTTTCTCTATGGGTCTCTGTGTTTCTCTATGGGTCTTTATGGGTCTCTGTGTATCTTTATGGGTCTCTGTGTGTATCTATGGGTCTCTGTGTGTCTCTATGGGTCTCTGTGGGTCTCTGTGTATCTCTGTGGGTCTCTGTGTGTATCTATGGGTCTCTGTGTGGTTCTGTATCTCTATGGGTCTTTGTGTCTCTGTGTATCTCTATGGGTCTTTGTGTCTCTGTGTATCTCTATGGGTCTTTATGGGTCTCTGTGTATCTTTATGGGTCTTTATGGGTCTCTGTGTATCTCTATGGGTCTCTTCTGACGTTCCCCCACCCCCCCCCATGCCCCCCCCCCCTCGTGTTGGCACCATCATCAGCGGTGGTGAGGGACAGGCCGCCAGCGTGCAGTCGGTGCTGGAGCGAAACCGGAGTCTGCACGAGGCCAACGCCCAGCTGAGCAGGGAGCTGCAGGTCGCTGTGGATCACACGGCGCACCTGCGTGAGAAGCTCATCCTGGTGAGTGGTGGTGGTGAGTGGTGGTGGTGAGCGGGTGGTGAGCGGGTGGTGAGCGGGTGGTGAGTGGGTGTGAGTGGTGAGTGGGTGAGTGGGTGAGTGTGTGAGTGGTGAGTGGGTGAGAGTGCGAGAAGCTCATCCTGGTGAGTGGTGGTGGTGAGCGGGTGGTGAGTGGGTGTGAGTGGTGAGTGGGTGAGTGTGTGAGTGGTGAGTGGGTGAGAGTGCGAGAAGCTCATCCTGGTGAGTGGTGGTGGTGAGCGGGTGGTGAGTGGGTGAGTGGGTGAGTGGGTGAGTGGGTGAGTGGGTGAGTGTGTGAGTGGTGAGTGGGTGAGAGTGCGAGAAGGTCATCCTGGTGAGTGGTGGTGGTGAGTGTGTGGGGGGTGAGTGTGGTGAGTGGTGGTGGTGAGTGTGAGTGGGGAGTGTGTGAGTGGTGAGTGTGGTGAGTGGGTGAGTGGTGAGTGTGTGAGAAGCTCATCCTGGTGAGTGGTGGTGGTGAGTGGGTGGTGAGCGGGTGGTTAGTGGGTGAGTGGGTGAGTGGGTGAGTGGGTGAGTGGGTGAGTGGGTGAGTGGTGAGTGGGTGAGAGTGCGAGAAGGTCATCCTGGTGAGTGGTGGTGGTGAGTGTGTGGGGGGTGAGTGTGGTGAGTGGTGGTGGTGAGTGTGAGTGGGGAGTGTGTGAGTGGTGAGTGTGGTGAGTGGGTGAGTGGTGAGTGTGTGAGAAGCTCATCCTGGTGAGTGGTGGTGGTGAGTGGGTGGTGAGCGGGTGGTTAGTGGGTGAGTGGGTGAGTGGGTGAGTGGGTGAGTGGGTGAGTGGGTGAGTGGTGAGTGGGTGAGAGTGCGAGAAGGTCATCCTGGTGAGTGGTGGTGGTGAGTGTGTGGGGGGTGAGGGTGGTGAGTGGTGGTGGTGAGTGTGAGTGGGGTGAGTGTGAGAGTGGTGAGTGTGGTGAGTGGGTGAGTGGTGAGTGTGTGAGAAGGTCATCCTGGTGGGTGGTGGTGAGTGGGTCAGTGGGTGAGAGTGTGAGAGTGTGAGAGTGTAAGTGGGTGAGTGGGTGGTGAGTGGTTGAGGCCATCCTGGTGAGTGGTGTTGGTGAGTGGTGAGTGTGTGAGTGGTGAGTGTGTGAGAAGGTCATCCTGGTGGGTGGTGAGTGGTGGTGAGTGGGTGAGGCCATCCTGGTGAGTGGTGTTGGTGAGTGTGTGAGTGGTGAGTGTGTGAGTGTGTGAGAAGGTCATCCTGGTGGGTGGTGAGTGGTGGTGAGTGGGTGGTGAGTGTGAGTGGTGAGAGTGTGAGAGTGGTGAGCGTGTGAGTGTGTGAGTGGTGAGTGGTGAGTGTGTGAGAGTGAGTGGTGAGTGTATGAGAAGGTCATCCTGGTGAGTGGTGGTGGTGAGTGGTGAGTGAGTGGGTGAGAGTGTGAGAAGGTCATCCTGGTGAGTGGTGGTGGTGAGTGAGTGAGTGGGTGAGTGGGTGAGAGTGTGAGAAGGTCATCCTGGTGAGTGTGTGGTGAGTCTGGTGAGTGGGTGGTGAGTGGTGAGAGTGAGTGGTGAGTGTGTGAGAAGGTCATCCTGGTGAGTGAGTGGTGAGTCTGGTGGGTGGGTGAGAGTGCGAGTGTGTGAGTGTGTGAGTGTGTGAGTGTGTGAGAGTGAGTGGTGAGTGTGTGAGAGTGCGTGGTGAATGTGTGAGAAGGTCATCCTGGTGAGTGAGTGGTGAGTGGGTGAGAGTGCGAGAGTGCGAGAGTGTGAGTGGTGTGTGTGTGTGTGTGTGAGCGTGTGTATGAGTGTGTGTGTGTGTGTGCGAGTGTGTGTGTGTGCGCGAGTGTGTGAGTGAGCGAGTGCGTGTGTGTGTGTGTGTGTGAGCGTGTGTGAGCGTGTGTGTGTGTGAGTGAGTGAGTGTGCGCTGTGTGTGTGTGTGAGTGAGTGCGTGAGTGCGTGAGTGAGTGAGTGTGTGCTTTGTGAGTGAGTGAGTGAGTGTGTGCTTTGTGTGTGCTGTGTGAGTGTGCTGTGTGGGTGCGTGTGGGTGCGTGTGTGTGCGTGTGTGTGCGTGTGTGTGTGAGCGTGTGCGTGTGTGGCTTCTCACTGGACCCCTTTGCCCCTCTCCCTGGCACCGCCTCAGTCGGAGATGGAGCGCCAGAAGCTGCTGGCGCGCTTCGCCGAGCTGAAGGATCATGAAGCGTGAGTCGCCCCGTTCTGTAGTGTATAGTGTAGTGTGTAGTGTAGTGTAGTAACAATAGTGTAGTGTATAGTGTAGTGTATAATAGTGTAGTGTATCTTAGTGTAGTGTGTAGTGTGTAGTGTAGTGTATAGTGTATAGTAGAGTAGTGTGTAGTGTGTAGTGTGTCGTGTAGTGTATCGTGTAGTGTAGTGTGTAGTGTAGTGTAGTAACAATAGTGTAGTGTATAGTGTAGTGTATCTTAGTGTAGTGTATAGTGTAGTGTACTAGTACAGCACTAGTGTATAGTGTAGTGTATAGTGTAGTATACTAGTATATAATAGTGTAGTGTGTAGTGTAGTGTATCTTAGTGTAGTGTATAGTGTATCTTAGTGTAGTGTATAATGTAGTGTATCTTAGTGTAGTGTGTAGTGTATAGTGTATCTTAGTGTAGTGTATAATGTAGTGTATCTTAGTGTAGTGTATAGTGTAGTGTGTAGTGTAGTGTATCTTAGTGTAGTGTACTAGTACAGCACTAGTGTATAGTGTAGTGTATAGTGTAGTATACTAGTGTAATAAAAGGACTCGAACACTTCTTTCTGTCTTCGTGTCTTTATTCAGGTTCACGTCTCTACCCACACGGCACTCTGTTATAACTCCTGTATTTGTAGCCCCCGGCTATTCACTGCTATTATAGCTTCCTCTCCCCTCTGACTCTCTGCTTCATCTACTGTAACCTCCTCCCTGCAGACTCGCTGCTACCCCTATGCAGACTCCCGCTGCTACCCCTATGTGCAGACCCTCTGGCTGTCACTGTATGCAGACCCGCTGCCCACTCTCTCTGTGCAGCCCCGCTGCTGACTGCAGCCTCCTCGCTGCTTCGGGTCGGTCACCGCTGGCCAACGGTGCCGATCCTCGCTCCCCCCGTGTTCGTGGCGATCTCGCCACACCCTGCTTCGCCCTTCGTGGCCTTCCTCTGTTCCTGGTTCCCCGTCACTCCCCTTGCTCTTCCGGTTCCCCCTCCTTCTATACTCAACCCCTCTGCCCCCCACGTGACCTAACTCCTCCCCCCCTGACGGCACCTCAGAAGGGCCGTTTACAACCGCATTACATCACCCTCCCCCTTAAAGAAAATCCAGCCGACCTCGGCTGAATTGCAACCTGAAAAGCAATGCGGGTGTAAAGGGCCAACACGCAAAAAGACACGAAGCATTGAAGAACATCATAACAATAACACAACACAACACAATCTAACGAAACGTGAGGGATTTCGAGCGAGTACGGGTAGCCGGGCCGTCCCGGACGGTCGGCGGCCCACCCGCCGAGCGGGAACGTGGAAGGGTTTTAGGGGCGACGGGCGCAAGTTCTTCCGTCGCCATTGGAGGCCCGCCACTGTCCCGCTCGCGTCCAGAAACATCCCGTACTCGCGTCCGCGGAGGGATAGGAAGAGCTGCAGGTCCCGTGGGTTCTGCGGCTCCGGTCGGCGTCCCACAAGCGGAAGGTCCTCCTCCCTGCGCTGTCACGGCCGGCTTGTCTGTGAAGGGTACGACAGGCGCTCTCGCAAGGTCAGCAGACACAGGCAAGGGCGAGTCGGCAGCAACAGACCCCGGCAAGGCAACTTTGGGAGATGACGCATCCGGCCGTGGGGCAATGTATGGCTTCAACCGGGACGTGTGCACGAACCAACGCCGTGCACCAACCTGAACACGCGCCGACTGTGGGTTGGGAACCTCAATGAGGCGGACCGGACCCTGCCAAGGTCGATGTAATTTAGGAGATGTACCTGGCCGCACCTGTGGGCAATGAAGCCAGGCCAGGTCCCCCTTTTTCCAGGGACACTCCCCCTTTGAACGTCGGGCACACCGCTCATTCCTGGCCTGAGCCTTGGCAGTAGCCATGCGGGCATTTTCCCTCGCCTCAGCGACACGCCGAACGTTGTCCTTAATATACTCAGGAAGAGGCTTAACAGGCCCCCTCGCACCGGTTCCCAACTGGTCATGAATCGGCGGCACGTTCTCACGGCCGTACATAAGGAAAAACGGCGAGTATCCAGTAGCCGCGTGCGGCGTCATGCGATACGCCGAAAGCACCCCAGGGATATGCAAATCCCAATCAGATTGGTTTTCCCCGACTGTATGGCACAGCATGGCGGACAGAGTCCGATTCAACCGTTCCACCATACCATCCGTTTGCGGGTGGTAGGGGGACGTCCGTATCTTTTTAGTTCCAAGAGCCGCACACACCTCCCCCAACAATTTAGATGAAAAGTTACGTCCCTGATCCGTAAGGAGCCTCTCCGGAGCCTCTTTGTCCATTACATACCCAAATAGAAAGGCGTCAGTGATAGACGCCGCTGACTGGTCAGGCAAGGGCCAGGCCATCGGCCAGCGAGAGAGGTACTCCACCCCCACCAATAAATACTTATTCCCTTTAGCTGATGGCGGAAAGGGCCCCAAATATCTAACGCCACCAGCTCATTAACCCGAGATACTTTAATCGATTGTATCGGCGGAACATATGGATGTTTAGGCGGCTTACGGCGGGCACAATCGGGACACGCGCGAACGTGACCGACGACATCCGTCGTCATGCCGTGCCAATAATAGTCTCGTTGCAGCGTCAATAGGGTTTTCTGCACCCCCAGGTGTAAAAGTGTGTCACAGTGCAAAGATCTAATCAGCTCATAGCGCAATGACGCGGGCACAACGAGACGCCAGTGTTCCTGTATCCCTTCCCTCCACATCAGTAACCCATCTCGGAGAGCAGTTTCCGAATTACCACCCGCACCGACTTCCTTACCCGCCCTCTCCGTTCGTTTCCGTAACGACACCAAAGAATCGTCCAACATTTGCTCCCGAATCCACACAGACCTTGGAAGACGCAAAATCCCGTCAGCCGGTCCCCCTTCAACCGGTCCCGGTGTAAGCGGAGGTTCGAGAACATCCACTGCCCGCGCGACAGGCTGAGGGGGGGGCTGAGCCGGTCCACACCTATGCGTCCCCGACGCACACGCACAAGGGGATTGTTGCGGCAACCTGGACAGTGCGTCCGCGTTAGCGTGACGCACACCCTTCCGATGGTGAATTTGGAAGGAGAATTCTTGCAACGTGTCCAGCCATCTCGCCAATTGTCCGGATGGCTGGTCCATCTTAAGAGCGTACTGCAAGGCCGCATGGTCCGTTCGGACAATAAACGACCGACCGTACAGATACGGTCGAAATTGGCGGAGAAAAATACACAATAGCCAAAAGTTCCCTGCGAGTGACGCAGTAACGAGTTTCCGCGGGAGACAAAACCCGACTCCCGTACGCCACCACACGCTCAACACCACCTTTTGACTGGGACAACACCGCCCCAATCCCGGTGTCACTCGCATCAGTATCCAGAATGAAGGGATGTTCAAAATCCGGATAATCCAACGTCGGCGCAGTAGCCAGTAGATCGCGCAGGCTCCGAAACGCCGCCTCCTCCGGCGGTCCCCACACAAATTTGTGCCCCTTCCCAGTAAGGAGATGCAAAGGCCTGGCGATAGTAGCGAAATTCGGAACAAACCTCCGGTAATATGAGGCGAACCCCAAAAACCGACGCACATCACCCACCGTGGCGGGGGTTGCCCAATCCCGGACACACGCAGTTTTCTCTGGATCCGTGGCCACCCCGTCCGCACTAACAATATGTCCCAAGTATCGAACGGAACGTTGCAGTAGATGACATTTCTTAGGCTTGAATTTCAAATTAGCAGAACGCATTCTGGCAAAAACGGCCTCCAACCGCAATAAATGCTCATCAAATGTGCGGCTGAAGACAATAATATCATCTAAATAAATGAGACATGTCTCCCACTGCAACCCCGTCAATACCAACTCCATCAATCTCTGAAAGGTGGCAGGGGCTGCATTCAACCCCATCGGCAGACAGTTAATTGGAACAACCCCTGCGGCGTACGGAACGCTGTCTTTTCCCGCGAGGGCTCGTCAAGGGGAAGCTGCCAGAAGCCCGAAGAGAGATCTAGCGTTGAAAAAAACTTAGCCCCTGACAAGGCGTCGAGAGAATCGTCCATACGCGGCAGGGGATACGCATCTGCCACCGACACTTTATTTAACTTCCGAAAATCCACACAAAATCGTAATTTACCATCTTTCTTTTTAACCAACACGACAGGCGCGCCCCACGGGCTATTAGACGGAGATATAATATCCGCTTTCAACATGTCTTCCACTGCCCCTCGAACGTGCTCACGCTCAGCCGGACTCATCCGACGCGAGTTCAAGCGGATAGGGGCCGCGTCCCCCGTTTCGATGTGATGAGAGAGCAGCGAGGTGCGTCCCAAGTCCAAATCGTCCGAGCTAAACACATCGGAATAGCTCGCTAATAATTTATGAATCGCACAACGCTGCTCAGCGGAAAGGGCCGAATTTTCCGCACATAGTTCGGCGATCCAACGATCGTCCACCCCTCCGTCGTGTGAAACACCACCCACCAGCCCCCCGTCCGGAATGTCACTCTGAGCCGTAAACGCCGTAGTGGCGTGTGCCACAACGGTACCAGCCGGCACACACACGCTTTCAGAACTCGCATTTAACACCTGCAAAAACGGGCGTTGATCCGGACGGACAATGGTTTGCGCCCCCACCAGTGCCAATCCGCCCGTAACAGCGGCGGACGGCGACAGCAAAATTCCACAAGCACCCTGCCGACCCGGAACCGGCTTCCGGTATCGTAGGGGAATGAGCATCTGCGAGCCAGGTGGAATATCAACTGAAACTTCCGATAACGCCTGCACCTGGGCAACCGGAGCCGGTCGCCCCCAGGCGGACTGTAAAAACGCCAATTTGCGGCCCCCTGGTAGTTCAATGCAATTTTCATTGATTCTAATTAGAATGGGCATCTTAGCCAAAAAATCCGTGCCCAACAAGCAAGGAACCGCCAGGGACCTCGAAATTAACACAACGCCCGAGGCCGAGACCCCCCCAATAGAAATATTAGCGTCCACCTGTCCCACGATGCCCATACTACCCCCGTTCGCAGCGATGCAGGAAGCGTAAGCCGGCCTCACGGCCCCCGGTGGGATGCTCAAAAGATGGAATATGACATCCGAAATAATGGTCGCGGACGCCCCGGAATCCACCAAAATACGCACGTCCACCCCTTGGATCGACCCCGGTACAGTGGACGAACCTGTAGCGGCCGCGACAACCCGCCGAGCCAACTTACGCCACTGCGTTATCGAGCGACAAGGCGCAGATACTGGCCCCCCATATTTTAGAACATCCGCGTCGCACAACAACGGCGATGAGTGAGGTGTCAGGCCTTGCCGGGTGTCTGGTGCGCACCGACTTGCCTGTGCCGGAGGGTCTTTCTTTGGGGCGTCCGCGATCGAGGCCTCCTGCTGGGGCGGCCCCGGAACCCGGGCCCAGCAGTCCCTGGCATAGTGGCCCCGACGGCCGCAGCGGAAACAGTCGACGTCGGGTCGGCGCGCAGCAGGCACCCCGTCCCGACGTGGCCGCGCCGGCGGCGGAGCCCGCGGCCCCGGCTCGCTTCGAGCCGGCCACGGAGTGGAGGCGGCCGACAGCTCCTTTGGGCCGGTCGCATCCGGCACGTACACGGCCTTTGTAGGGTCCCACCCTACGGCCCCCCCATCGACGACAGGACCGCCCGTCCACGCCGTGACTTGTTTCCAGCGGCGGAGATTGAACTGGGCGTCCAAACACTTGGCCACGGTCCGGGACGTGAGTTTCTCGTGACCGCACGCCGGCATAGGAATGCCCAGATCCCGGGATAACTCCAACATCTTCCCCAAGATGAGAGGTTCCAGCAGGTCAGGCTCCGTCTCCGGGTAAGCGGCCATCGCGAGTTCCAGCACGGCGCCCCTGTACGCTACAGGCGACTCCTCCGGTGCGCGTTGCCGCTGCACGAAGCGGCGATGGGCGTCATCCGGTGGCTCGTACGCGTCCGCCATTTCGTCGAACACTCCACGCAATGTTTTCTTCTTCGCAGCTTTTATAGAGCGAAAAAAACGAACAGACTCATCGTCAAGGAGAGTCGGAAGCACCTCCAGCGCCTCGGCGTCCGTCCACCTTGCCGTTCGTACCGCCGCCAAAAATCGACAAGCGAACGCACTCCAATCGCCCCCGATGGAGAACTCCTTAACAGTTGTAAGGTGACGACTGCGGCTCCTTGGCTTGCTTCCGTCCGTCACCGACTCTTCCGGCGGCAAGTTCAGCAAGGCGTCGCAACGCGGTGTCGCCAAGATGGCGGACGATCCTCGTGGCGGCCCCAAAATGGCGGCTTCCCGCCTTCCGTGGTGCGCCACGCCCAAGATGGCGTCTTCACGCCGCGTGGCCGATGGCGGCGCCATCGAAGACGACCCGGGCTCCTGCTGATCACCACCATCACCTTCCAACGCCGCCCTTGGCGTGACAAGGTCACACAACTCCGTGATGACGGTTTTTAGGGTCGCCAGTTGCTCCGCCATCCGGGTCCATCTTAAATCTTCGTCCTTCAACGCAGATGGGTCGGACGCAGCGGCAACCT